CTGGGTAGTCCAGGATGCATGTTACTGCTTACCCTTTACCTTCGCACCTAATCCCAAAGTAATTGCATGAAGGCAGGCTTATCATTACAGCCCATTCAGAGATGGAGGAACTCAGGTAGAGACAGGTCCAGAGCAACTTGTGCAGGCCGGAGCCCTGGCAGCCATCGCTGCCTGCCTACGAGCACCCACTGCTTGCTGGCACTTCCAGCTCCCACCATCCAGTCTGGAAATGCCACTCTGTTTCCCCACTGTGCCAGGTGCCCACGTTTTTCTGTGCCCACCTTGCCCTGGAAGGCCTAGCCCCTCTGCACTCTGCCGGTCAGGCCTGCTGAGGGTGAGTCGTGCAGAGGACCCCATGCTAGTTGTCGGGCTGGAGCATGCACGGGACCCTTCCTTGGAGATCACCCTGGGCTGGGGCACCTGCTCCTCCCAAGCTGGCCCCTCACAGGGTGCCCTCCTTTGTCAGTAACTGACTTCTTCCTTCATCCCATTGGCCTAGGTGTGCAAACACCTCAAAAGTACCAGGCCTGGGTCACCACCTTTCCTGTGTGGGCTCCCCACCCAGTTCTCTGTAAACAAACTGTTTTCAGATTACCCCACTTTGAGTGCCTCCTTTCTGTAGGGCCCCCAACTGTTGCACCAGGCTCTAACCTGGTGGAGTTGGACATCTAGCCGATTCTGCCCTAAGAGGACTGCTGGGAAGTCTGTCAGTAGCTCCTGGGAAATGTTCTTCTCTCAGATAAAGGTCAGGAGTAGTATAAAATGTCTGTCTTATTGGCCAGTTTACCAGGAGGGAATAAAACTATTTAGCCAAAATCCTAGGCTGGCAGATACTGGGATGGAAAGATGTTGGATGCCAGAGAACACTGGGGATGCTCCACAGGGTCAACCCAGAACCCCTGCTCTGGGCTTCTTGACACTTAATATATGTCTCTGGTGTGCATTAACTTTTTATTTTGGAATAACTTTATATTTACTGAAAAGTTACACAAATAGTGCAGAGTTCCTCTGTACCATCCCCCAGGTTTCCCAGGCGTTCTTACATAACTATGGCACATCTGTGAAAACAGCCCCATGAACACTGGACTCTACTCCGAATGAAGCAGCAGCTTTGATCGGCTCACAGCAGTTTTTCGCTAGGATCCCAATTGCCTCTTATTTTACTTTTTATTTCAGGCTCTCTGCGCTCTCACTAAAACAATCCTTTGCCTCCTGAGCCCATGAGGACGTTCTCCTGTCTCCCCTCTGGCGGCTGACGGCGCTCGCGTGGGTGCTGAGTGCCGGCCCATCTCTGAGTCAGGACAACGCGGAGAGGGGCAGGCCCCACTTCTGCCCTATGTGCACACAGCTTTTCTGGCACCACGTGTCGGATGTTCTTTTCTCCCAAAGAGGCCTTAGCACCCTTTTCAAAAATAAGTCACTATGTGTGAGCAAATCAGTTTCTGGTGTAGCTATTTCTATCATTTTGCCAATATCACACACTCTTGATTAACTTTAGAGGAAGTTTTGAGGTCAGGCATGGTAAGCCCTAGATTCCCGGCCTTTCCAAATTCATTATAGAATTGCCCTGTCAATGGCTAGAAAAAGTTACCCCCAAGATTTTGTACCCACCAAAGAGGAGCTGGAAAGAAAATTGTGATAATATCTGATAGGAGCTCTCCTCCCACCAGATGGGTAGGGGTTTCGGAGCCAATGTGATTTGATTTAGAAATGAAGCAACACGCCGTTCTGTGCGTGGGAAAGGACGCCCAGCGCAGGCGTGTTGTTTTTCTCCCCCTGCCCTGACGCCGCGGATCCTCAGGCTTTGTGGGCCCAAGCAGTAGCTCCCCCGCGGGGCCCACCATGCACGCGCAGCGCCTACCACAGCCCCGACCCTCGCCCAGCCGGGCATCTGCTGCAGACTCGAAGTGAGGCACGCCGTCCTCTGAATTTCACACTGAAAAGATGTGCCCCTAGGGGTGATATGGCTCATGGAGGTCGGTGCCCCTGTTCATGCCAAGAGGAAAGACTCGGGCATTTTTCCCCTGGTGTGAAGGAACTGATGCTAAAGCAGCACCTGGCGATACTGGCGACACGGCACTGCCGAGGGGAGGCCTGAGGGCAGGGGAGCGTGATCAGCTCCTTCTCGGTCTTGTTGAGACACCTGGGAAGTGCCGGGCAGGAGGCAAGAAGGAGTATGGATGAGGAGCATTTCAAGGCCAGAGTGCAGGAATAAGGATCCCGGTCAGGTGGCCTTTACACCTGCGTGCTTCCTGCCCACTGGGAACAAAGGTCCCTGGTGAAGGACAAGTAAAAAGGTCCTTTTTGAGTCCCTGGCCCAAACTCAGATCCTTGGCCCTGAAAGGCACGGCGCTGACCATCACGGTGACACACGGGACTTGATTTCCAGCAGCAGGAGGGACAGATTCACGCACGGATCGCCGTGGACGTCTGGGGCCTCAGCCACCCACGTGACCTCAAACCCTGCACTTCCGAGTCAGGATTTAATCTCTCTTATTTGTACTTCGGCACTTACATTTGTTCTTCACAACAGCCCTATACATGGTTGTGCAAAAAACTGGGCTTTTATTTACTTTAAGTGTTCAGACCAGATTACAGGCAAAGTGGTGATAAAAAAAATTCCGTCTCACAATGTAGTCGTGAAGATCACGATCAGATGAGATGCGAGCAGCACAGAGCACCATGCTGGTGGTGTGACATTTGTAGGGCCCTGTAACGTTTACAACCAGTAAAGATTATTTAATTAAGTGGATATTAATTAGATAGCTACTACATTTTATTAAATGCCTATATATAAATTTGCATGGACAAATGAAAAAATAAATTTGGTTGGTATTGCAGTAATGCTGAACTTCCTATTCCTATGAAATAATTGAAAGTATTTTTCCCTGGAGAAAGTTAATGAGAGAAAGCAGAAAATACTCTAAGAACTACTACTGCTATGAATGCATATACAAAACCAAAACTGATCACATGCATACATGGATTTATTGCAGTATCTTGAACAGGATACATACACCATTTGAATTTTATTAGAGATTAAGACCGACGAAATGAAATGTGTCTTCATTAATTTATGCATCTGCAAACATCCATGTCATCTACAGGATGGTTGTGAATTCTCATAGGTCATTTTTCCAGTCACTTTGGAGTTACTCTGTTTCTTTTAGTTTTACAAAGTTGTTAATAAATTCCCAAAGGTTCCTTAAAATACATAACAAATGAATACAATGGATTAGAAAAGAAGTACATTAAGCATAAAAGAAAATTTTGAAATGAACACCTATTTTAGAATACGTTTCCTCAAAAACCCAAAATGAGATTTTGCAATCCTCCACTTTCATTTTAAAGGATATTAGTAGAGTTTTAGCATTTAATGTAGCAGAGATTCTCTCCATGTATGTATTTGGGCACAATCTCCTGCAGCATCTTCCAGACCAAGCATAGTGTGGCTGTAGAGGCTGATTTACTCTGGCGATAATGATGTTTAAACCTCAGGTCCATTCACACATTGCCAAGACCATGGAAAGAGACTTCCCAATTTTGTACTCTTTAATTCTATATTATTTTCCTTTGAGGATCCCCAACACTATACATGGCCCCACAACACCTGGATCCATCTCTATGGCTCACTCAGCACCCATTCTCACACCTCTTTGCCTGTGACTTTTCTTTACCATATATACTGGGAAGCGGAATGTTCTATTTTCTGGACTCTTGCAACTAAGGATGGCTAGCAAATGAGACATGGGGAGAAGTCCCTGGGAAGGGCTCTCCTTCCTAAGTAACACAGAAAAATGGTGAGAAGCTCCTTGTCCTTCCCTCCACTTTCTCCGTTCTTCCTCCACGGGTCATGGACCCAGTGCCCAAAGGCAGCCATGGTGAGGCCCTGAGGACGGAAGAGACCCTCAAGGAAAACGGGGAGGATGGAAGACCCCTGGTCTCTTGATATCAGTGAGCCCAGGCCACCTACAACTAAATGTCTTTTTACTGTTGATACAAATAAGCTTTTTCCACATTTAAACCGGTAGTGGTTTTCTGTTGCTCCATACTCACCAGATCCTGAGACTTCAACTGTGGTAGCAACTCAAGAAAATTAACTATATAAAGTCTAAATGCATGCACAAGACCATATACATCAATCATTTCATTTTTTAAACTTTTCAGAGTAATGCACATATAGGGTTTTGATTTCAAAATATGGATGAGGAGCATTTCAAGGCCAGAGTGCAGGAATAAGGATCCCGGTCAGGTGGCCTTTACACCTGCGTGCTTCCTGCCCACTGGGAACAAAGGTCCCTGGTGAAGGACAAGTAAAAAGGTCCTTTTTGAGTCCCTGGCCCAAACTCAGATCCTTGGCCCTGAAAGGCACGGCGCTGACCATCACGGTGACACACGGGACTTGATTTCCAGCAGCAGGAGGGACAGATTCACGCACGGATCGCCGTGGACGTCTGGGGCCTCAGCCACCCACGTGACCTCAAACCCTGCACTTCCGAGTCAGGATTTAATCTCTCTTATTTGTACTTCGGCACTTACATTTGTTCTTCACAACAGCCCTATACATGGTTGTGCAAAAAACTGGGCTTTTATTTACTTTAAGTGTTCAGACCAGATTACAGGCAAAGTGGTGATAAAAAAAATTCCGTCTCACAATGTAGTCGTGAAGATCACGATCAGATGAGATGCGAGCAGCACAGAGCACCATGCTGGTGGTGTGACATTTGTAGGGCCCTGTAACGTTTAAAACCAGTAAAGATTATTTAATTAAGTGGATATTAATTAGATAACTACTACATTTTATTAAATGCCTATATATAAATTTGCATGGACAAATGAAAAAATAAATTTGGTTGGTATTGCAGTAATGCTGAACTTCCTATTCCTATGAAATAATTGAAAGTATTTTTCCCTGGAGAAAGTTAATGAGAGAAAGCAGAAAATACTCTAAGAACTACTACTGCTATGAATACATATACAAAACCAAAACTGATCACATGCATACATGGATTTATTGCAGTATCTTGAACAGGATACATACACCATTTGAATTTTATTAGAGATTAAGACCGACGAAATGAAATGTGTCTTCATTAATTTATGCATCTGCAAACATCCATGTCATCTACAGGATGGTTGTGAATTCTCATAGGTCATTTTTCCAGTCACTTTGGAGTTACTCTGTTTCTTTTAGTTTTACAAAGTTGTTAATAAATTCCCAAAGGTTCCTTAAAATACATAACAAATGAATACAATGGATTAGAAAAGAAGTACATTAAGCATAAAAGAAAATTTTGAAATGAACACCTATTTTAGAATACGTTTCCTCAAAAACCCAAAATGAGATTTTGCAATCCTCCACTTTCATTTTAAAGGATATTAGTAGAGTTTTAGCATTTAATGTAGCAGAGATTCTCTCCATGTATGTATTTGGGCACAATCTCCTGCAGCATCTTCCAGACCAAGCATAGTGTGGCTGTAGAGGCTGATTTACTCTGGCGATAATGATGTTTAAACCTCAGGTCCATTCACACATTGCCAAGACCATGGAAAGAGACTTCCCAATTTTGTACTCTTTAATTCTATATTATTTTCCTTTGAGGACCCCCAACACTATACATGGCCCCACAACACCTGGATCCATCTCTATGGCTCACTCAGCACCCATTCTCACACCTCTTTGCCTGTGACTTTTCTTTACCATATATACTGGGAAGCGGAATGTTCTATTTTCTGGACTCTTGCAACTAAGGATGGCTGGCGAATGAGACATGGGGAGAAGTCCCTGGGAAGGGCTCTCCTTCCTAAGTAACACAGAAAAATGGTGAGAAGCTCCTTGTCCTTCCCTCCACTTTCTCCGTTCTTCCTCCACGGGTCATGGACCCAGTGCCCAAAGGCAGCCATGGTGAGGCCCTGAGGACGGAAGAGACCCTCAAGGAAAACGGGGAGGATGGAAGACCCCTGGTCTCTTGATATCAGTGAGCCCAGGCCACCTACAACTAAATGTCTTTTTACTGTTGATACAAATAAGCTTTTTCCACATTTAAACCGGTAGTGGTTTTCTGTTGCTCCATACTCACCAGATCCTGAGACTTCAACTGTGGTAGCAACTCAAGAAAATTAACTATATAAAGTCTAAATGCATGCACAAGACCATATACATCAATCATTTCATTTTTTAAACTTTTCAGAGTAATGCACATATAGGGTTTTGATTTCAAAGATTTAATATCACTGGAAGCATATACCTTGAGAAAAGAAAACCACCCACAGCCACCTGCCTCCCCACATTCCTGAGCCCTTCCTGTGAGATTTCGCTCTCAACTCTGGAGCTCTTTCCAAAGAATTTGTTTCTATAGTTCTGAATAATACATCTGGAATGAGGTTTAAATCTTGGTCTAAGCTTCTTAAGCACAAGAAAGGATGTAAAATTGACACGTAAAGTTACCACTCATGAATGTCAACACTTGAGCAAGCTGTCTAATGGAATCTAGTAGTGAATGAATGGTTTCGAGAAGAGCCAGAGATGGCGGCTGTTCTTTGCCCGCGGCACCAGCACCTACCGCTGCTCCTCCTCGCTCATCCTGCTCTTCCTCATGCACTGCTTCACTCGGTTTTCAATCATCTGGCAAGAATTAGAAGTCATTTGGCCGTGTGTACTGGCGACATGCTACTCGTCATGTGTACTGGTAGTAACACTGAATCCAAACAGACTACTGCTTTCGGAATCAGGCACAACATACAAATTCATACTACGTTTACTACAGAGAGATACACCTATGTGATAGAAGCAGAATAATAATCTATTAAGCACCAGATTGTTAGCATGTATTTTGGAGCGGTGCCCTGAAAGATGTTAGGGGGGCCAGTTCACTATATTCCTTACCACCAAATAAATTCACTTCAATTAATTATTATGTGTGGAAGGGTTAGAGAAATGGCCAATTCTGATTGCTACACTCAACTACTTAAAAAAATGTTTTTCTCATTAAGACTTTGGCTTACCCCTGTCCAGCTTTAAGCAAATGCCTTCCTATCCAGATATTCCTAGCATTTCAGAAAGTTATCATTTAGAAAGATATTACATATACTCTTGTTTGGTTTATGACACAGTACGAGAAAGCATTGGAGGAAATATTTCTACTGAGAAACATTGATTCACAAAAACTTACATTTATTTTCTGCTTTAAAATTCTATTTGCTGTGTCCAACTTTACGGCTTCAGTCTGAAGAAAAAAAAATGGCTTTAAGAGAAAGATACTAGTTTAAAACTATTTTTTAAATGCTTTCCCCATATGTGGAACAGAAACTATTAACGTGAATGCTGTTACTCTACTTTCAAAAGGGCCCAATAGCACATCATTTAGAAACAGATGAATAAACAAATCATGACTTCAAGGACATGAATGAAGGCTTCCTGGATTCCCGGGTCAAATGATAGAAAGTAGAGGTTGATGTTGCAAAAGATGAGAGAATTTTGGGGAAATTTCCAAACAGAGGAGTTCCTTACTTTTCAGAACTAATAGTAGAATTGGTGACAGTGTCTGGATACTGTATAGAAACACAAATATCGATATCACATATATGCCAGAATAACTGACTATAAACTGTAATATAAAAATTTTATGTCTCCATTCATAATAGTAATAAGTGCCATGAAGTCACAAAAATAAACATAACAAAAAATACTTAATACCACTGCAGAAAAATAAATTAAATAAATATATAATGATCCTTGATGGCATTGTTAATGTAAAAGCTGTCTCTTCTTCTGAATGGATCTATAAATTCATTGCAAGAACAATCAGATGGCAAGAGTATTATTATTGAAACTTTAAAAATTAATACTGTAAATGAGAATATCCGAAACAATTGTAAATGAAATAATGATGAGCTGAGGGTGGAATCAGGAGTTGTTCTACCCAGTCTCCAACATATTGAAAGGAGTTAGCAATGTTATCAGTGAGGCTGGGGAGTGTATAATTACGAAGGTAGCTGAGTTTCAATCCTAATTCTATTACTTTTTCACTGTGACTTCAATAAAGCTACTTAGCATATTTGTACTGTGGTTTCCTTACCTGTAAAAGAGGGTTAATAGTAGTAGGTGTCCCTTAGAGTTGTAGGGAATTAAATGAATAGTAGTGTTTTAATGTTCACAGCCATATCTTGTGCATTGCAGATCCTGAAGACAGTCATTATTTTTCTCTTCTGATTGGAAATAATGTTTCCAATCCACAACCAGAAATCAAGTACTTACTAGGATAATAAATTCAATTCCACTGTGCCTTCAGGTATTCGAATTGAGGCGTCAAATGTAAATAATAAGTAAAGTAATATAAATTTGTGGTATGGAGTTATAGGGAAACTTTTATTTCCTAGATTCAATCCATTTAAAGAAGTTATAATTATAAAAGAAAAGTTTACATGATTTTGGTGTCACAGCATACCCACCACATATTAATACATAACTCATTATTTTCACCACTTTAAAATTCAATTACAAATTAGTGTTTATTCTCAGGACATTATTTAGTTTTAAAGAAGTCCAGACTCTCAACAAAAAACATGATGGAAATCTGAGTGCATTATTTTAAAAGGAAGAGAAAGAAATCAAAACAAGTTTGTACCACCACCACCTTCCTGTACGTTCTATAATTCTGTTTTAAAAAAAAAAAAGTAGTTCTGGGAACATACATGTAACTATGTAGCTATGAGAAAAAAAAGATAACCACGTATCACTTATGAACTCATAAGTAGCACTTGCACTGAGTCAGATCCTGCACAAAAATTAGGTTGTATCATATAAAAAGTGGGGCACCTTAGCATTTTAAAACATAGTCATAATTTACATTATAGCACTCATCAAGAAAATGATAATTAACAATATTGTTAAAGACTACTTTTAATAGAGTAGATCAGTAGACTTTCCTTTCAATGGCAGTAACTACTTCCTATCTCCCAGAGTAATTGTGCAACTAACTGAAAATCTAACTATGGACTTTAGGTGGCGCAGCTGAAATTATAAGGACTTTGGAGCCCAAAAAGGATCAGGCTTCAGCCTCACTTTGCCACTTCCAAAGTGGGTCACGTTGGGCAGGATAAACTCTCTGAGTTTCAGTTTAAAATAATTAGTACATATTCAACACTGATGGAAGCCATGCTGTTTACGGCAAGCGTTTTCTATACAAAATCATTAGATTTAGATTTTAAGAGACACCCATTGAGCTGAAAGATCCCATTTGGCCCTTAACAGAGCTCTGGAGAATTTTTATCAGCATTGTTATTGTTTTAGCCAAGATGTCTTAATTATTCTAATCACTTACCACAAATGTTTTGAAATGAAAATATATTTGGAACACATTGTGCAGTTTTTTTACCCTGTTGCAAAAGCAAATTGCTTCATGTGTTTGCCAAGGTCTTCAAACAAAAGAAGAATGTAAGCATTTAAGTAAGTAAACTGCATACCTCTATGCTTTTAATCCTATTCTCAGTGATGTGCAAAATTCCAGTATGAACGAGAGTGGTTTTAATTTCTCTTTCAAGAGCTTGAAGTTTATCCCATTCATTAAGTATTTCACACCTCTTCTTCTCAACCTTTTCGATTAGAGTAAGGTGCTTCTCGTCCATTGCATTTTTCTCAGATGATTCTGGAAATATTTTTTAAAGCAAAGTATTGCCATGTTTAATATCTCAGCCATTGTTAATAATCATGTATTATTACCAATATTACATATATTATATATAGTTGTAAAATATAATGTAACTTAAACTTCAAGCTCACCAGTAAAAATTATCTGATCTGGGAATGGTGTATTTCTCTTTAGTTCACTCATATAATCAGTAAGGACTCACTGAGCGCCTAATCTGAGCACCTGAAATAATGTGGGAAGAGTGCAAGAACGCCTCTGCTAGAGAAGTGACTAGGCTGAGTCCCAAAGGTGAATTAGAGTTGGGCAGGTGGGAGGGGCTGGGGAGGAGCCAGAAGAGCAGAGTTTGGCACATTCAGCAAAAAGGAAGTTACAGTGGGGTGGGGGTATCAAGGGCCAGGTGACTGGCATCAAGAAATAGTTCTAGAAAGGAAGCAGGGGGCAGATCTGTAACATGTTAAACACCCAAGTCAAAGCTGTTGAAGGTGTGTGAGTTGGGAGACACGTGATCAGGCAACGGCCCCTCTGTCTACAGCCTGGGCAGAACTGGGGAAGGGGGCAGCTAGGAGGAGGAAGCCCGGACAGAAAGCCACTGCAGTCATGCCAACAGAAGCACGTCAGGATGATACCTGTGGCCTAAGAGAAGTGGGAGCTACAGAAACAACTGAGGCAATAGAAAAAAGCAGGGCTTGCTAATTGTCTAGATTTGAATGCAGAGCAGGTATCAGCTAGCCCTGCTCTGGGTTTCAGCTTGGTGATGGCTCGAAACAGGTTTGCAGGAGGGAAATCACCAGCTCAGTGCAGCAGAGTGGTAAAAAAGAGCTGGGCTTGCCTCCCAGCCAGGCCACTTACTGCAGCCCGTGCCGAAGGGCCCAGGGGGCAGAGAGTGAGAATGCCCACGACAGGGGTTCTGACCGGAGCCGCCGCGTGTCTGGTGACGCCACTCACTGAAATAGCCTGGGACATGCAAATGCAGAGTTTGACCTTGGACATGGTGAGCTGAGGTCACTACGGGACACGCTAGTGGACACGCCCAGTAAGCAGCTGGATATACAGATTTCAAGCCTCAAAAAGAGATTTTAACAAGAAAGAAATTTGGAATCAAGGATATACGGATTGAACCAAAGACATGCTGGGTTACAACGATAACAATATTTAAGGAGACAGAAAGGAGATGGAGACACTGAGAGTAACTCACTGCTGAGGACACTTTGTTGTCAAACAGCAGAGTTAGAGTCTCGTTAGAGTGGCTGAACCAGCTCCTCCTTTTTGCCAGGAAAAAAGACAGCGTGATAACACTTATTTGTACCCATTGAGTAGGACAGGAGTCATTACTGCAAACTTGCCAAATTTGGAAGACAGGAAAACTTTGAAGGTAAGTTTTGGAATTTGGGGAAATTAACTCAGCAGATCCTTGAAGAAGCAAGAGGGCAGACACAATGATAGCTGAGCCCCCAAATGAGGGACTTTACAGAAGAGCAAATGGTAGGAAGGACACCAGAGCTCCTTGGCAGCGCTGAGTCAGCAACAGCTGGTCTAGTCAGAAATAATAGCCTAGAGAATGAGCAACTTCCCCTTGGTTATTATTTTTATTCATCTCCACCACTTTATCCTCTTAGCAGTTAGCAGTGAAGCCCTTAAATTATAAAAAATATGTATAAACATTGTATAAATAATGTATATATATATTATACACTAAATTTTTAATTTTATAAACTTAATTTAATATATAAATTTTATATGTAGTATTAAATTTTTAATATTATAAATTGAAATATATGTATATGAATAATGTATAAATATTCATGCAAGAGGGAGCAAGGAAACAGAAACCCGCAGGCTGGTGTCCTGCCCGCCACCTGCCCGGAGAGGACCCCTACCAGACAGGCACGGGAAACCAGCTCTGAGCCGGGAAGGAACTCGACGTGGCCGGGGACGGCCAGCCGGCAAACAGCATGGGTGTCACTCGTGGGAAGGAAAGAACCACCAGGAAAAGGAAGGCCTTGGGCCAGAACCTTCAAGGCCAAGTTCTGCTAACACAGGTTAGATCTGTGAACACATCCTAAAAGATGCTGAGAAAGAGAAAAACGTGATTACCGTATGAGTTAGCATTTAATGAACTTGGAGGGAAAATGGCATTCGACTGAACTGTCGCGTAAACAGTAAAAGATTAATGAGCAAGATGCGTAAGTGAACTTATTTTGATTATTAATCATGTTCTAAACCAATTTTAGAATTAGTGTCTAATTTTGAAATGAATTTTAATATCTACTTAATGTATAAATATTCATTTATAAAATAACTCATTCCCCATGAACTATGTATTTGTCTCACAGTAATAATGATAAGAAGGAGGAGCAGAGAGACCCCAGTGTGCCAGGCTCTGCGCCTCACCTGGATTCTCACAGGTAGTTCTCATGACACCCCTAACAGGAGGTACTGCCATCATCCCAATTTGATGGACAGGCGGCTGAGACTGAAGAAGCTGAAATAACGAAGCTCAGAGTCTGGGTGAACCAGCAGCCAGTGTCCCGCCCGGCCTGGAACAGCCCTTCACGGCACCGCGTGAGCAGGGCTGAAACGAGCAGGCTGAGAACAGGTCTGCGTGACAGAGGACTTTGCACACGTGCGCAGCCTTAGAAACTCACTGTTGTCCATGAAAGCTGGCTTGTGTGAGCCAGGAAAACAGTACAAAGGTTCTGAACACCGGAAAGCACGGTCTTGGTTGCGGTTCCCCTGGAGAGCACGAGAGGCCGGAGCACCAGCGGCACCGGCTCACGGGGCACGATGGGCCACAGCCATGGTGCCCCCTGCAGTCGTCCTGGGCTTCGGGATGCTCTCTCTAAGGTAAACAGCTTTGCCCTCCAGCGCTTCCTCATGGAATCCCAGTCCCAGATTTATATCATTTGGCCAATTTCCTTAGCATTTATTCCCAATGTCTCGGTCAATACTTGACATAGCTCTCTCTCTACGTATGGTTCTGACTTAATTCAGTATTCCACTAAAAACCACAAAGATCTTAGAGAAAAATGAAATAGTGCATGTGTCACAACTGGTTACTAAAAAACTAAATAACCAAAGGTGTTGAAAGCAACCTAAACAGATAATAATCTTCACCCCGAGGGAATCTCTTAAACAGATCAACTGCTTCCTTTTCAGCCTTCAAAGTATTTCATTTAAGCCACTTCAGAATAAATGAAAAATTACATGTTTCTAAGCAACTTTACAGGAAAAATAAATAAATAAAATTTAATGACCCCTCTGAAAAAAACCCTCTTTATGTCTAATGGCAGGAGGCCATTGACAGCGGGCCAGGGATAATGGTTCCTCACCCAAAGGCCACGGCAAAACCCACATCAGAAGAACATTACACGATCACTTGCCTGATTTTTTCTTAGCAGATCGCAGCAGCATTTTCTCCCTCTCTAACTCACTTCTGAGCCTAGTTTGAAAATAAAAAATAGTGAAATACTAGAACTCCATTTGTAACTTTCTTGTCACAATTCTTTTTTATAAATTGAGAAATAAAAACTGATCTCCTTAGTTTCTAACTAAAAAAGGAATGGGAAGATGCATATAAAATGAAAGCCTAAGGTAGTCCAGGTTGAGTAAGCAAAAAAGTACTTTCTTACACAGATCGCGTAAATCACTAGTTAAAGAAGCTGGCTAATGTAAAATAAATGATTTCTCATGGTGTTTACTGATATTATTTTATCACTGAATTTTTGAAAAGCAAAGAGGCAAAGGAATTAGCCTTTTTACATTCCAAAGCAAACAACATATCAAGGGCAATGGTGATGCTGAAATACACGTTAATTTTCTCTGTGCATTGTGATTCCATCCCAGATACAATTTAAAAATTATACTATGTTTAAGCTAAAAATCAAACACAAGGAATTTTTTAAAAAGGAAATAAAACACCTTTGTAATCTCCTTGTATCCTCTTCCTGATTCAAAATAAACTAAATCCACTGTCTTATTTCTAATGGATTCAGAGAGGAAAAAACAAAAAGGAGTCTAATATTCACATGCTGAGGGAAACCGATTTGCTTAAGAATATCAACACTACAAATGACCTAACGCCACGTGCCTACAAGGGGCCTAATAGTTAAGATTTTCACACACACTAGCTCATTTGATGACAGATTAAAAGATATTATGACCTCCAATTTTGAGTAATTGAGGTTAAATGGATTAATAATAATGATAACTTTCTCAATATGTAGATGGAGAGCATTCAGTGTCCAGAAATTTTTAATGTGTTATAGTTCTGAATATTATGTTTCTATCTCATTGTTTTTTCTTCTTTGGGGACTTTAATTATATGGAAATTGGATCTTCTTTGCCCGTCTTCTGTTTTAACTGCTTTTTCTCTGACTTTTGATTTCTTTCCGTATCTTGCTTTCATTCTCTTGATTGTTTCCTGCTTCCCTCTAATGCCCCTTATTATGTGATCTTTCAGAACTATTCCTCTTTGGACATGTCATAATTGAACCTTGATTTATAACACAATTGTGACTTCATCAGCCGTCTTTCCTTGGCTGTCAGATCTCGTTTCCTGTCTTCCTTTTTGACGTTGTTGATTTTGTACTTAGTCTTTACATTTCTGACTCAAGGTTGTTTTAATGTCCTGAAATGCTCTTCAGAGGGTGTGTAGTTTAGTTTGGAGTCCTATGGCACAGATTTCTTCCCCAATTTTTGTTGCTGTTGGATGGCAGGGATTTTCAACAGTCAAATCATTCGGACTCTCATTTCCTGTCTTCTTCACATAGTAGCATATATACACAAAAATCATGGACACTTGTGCATGTCTGAGGGCAGGGCAAGTACTTTGGGGCTGTGGGTAGGTGTGAGATGCTTAATTCAAGGGGATCCTTTTCTGGCAGAGGAGCAAACAATGCTTTTGCCATTGTTGTTTTGTGCTGATTTTTTACTGTTTTTTGTTTGTTTTGGAGGGAAGACGAACGGTAGTGGACGTCTTGCATACCCTTTGATTTTCTTCAATTAGGGGATTCTAAACTACCCTTCTCAGCTTCTTTGTTTCTTCAATGCAGTTCCAAAGGATGTTGATCACTTCCTTTTTAACCTCTTCTCATCATGTCATTACCATTTCAGAACTGCTTCTTGCTTCACACTCACTCTGAAGCCTTTTAAAGTCAGTGTTCTGATAGATCCACCAGGAACCTATGCAGTATTCCCAATTAGCATAAACTCTGTCTCTCTCTCCATCTCTGTCTGTCTGTCTGTCTCTCTCCCGGCAGTGGTTTTAGAACAATTTTAGGCCTTCTGGTACCTGTATTCTTCTCTCTTGTCCAGCTGACTTAGCCTAGGGAAGGTCTGCAGTAAGGAAGTGGGTGGATAATGGCTCACTGGCGCTTGAGGTGCATTACTCTCTTTTCAGGAATTTTGAATTCCTCTCTAGTTACACTGAAGGTGTTTTACTTTTCAACTTTCATTTCTTATTTTCTTGAGATTTTGGGTGTGTTCGATTTTAACCTTTTTCTCTAACCCTTTACAAAAAGTATGCCCTGCTGCTGTGATTTCCTCCTAGAAGACTATAAAGAGGTTAAAAGGTTTTTTAAGTTAAAAAAATACAACAAGGGCATTCAGGAAAGATGTCTTGACACTCACCTGTGAATAAGTTCTGGGAGACTAGCAAAGTCATGGAATTCCTTCAGAAAGCTCCCCCTGCTCCCCCCCGAGAAACACCAGATTTGGTAAAATACCCTAGTCACCAACACAACCACTCGTGGAAGAAGCCAGATGGTAAGCGTGATGCTGGTCATGGTAGCATGCCTCCCCCAGCGATGCAGAAAAATGTAAATAAATGCTTGTCATGTGGTTTTACGACACTGTAAACAGATTTAATGCCAACATGGACCAATCAGAGCTTAACCCTCACCTGTCGTTACGTTCCAGGGCTGCTTTGGTGGCCGTCACGAGCGCCCTCAGCTCCTCCTTGGCCTGGCTGATGTCTGCTGTCTTCACCCGCCTCCTCTCCAGGCTCCTGATGTGAGCCAGCAAGGCCTAGGAAGGACAAGGGCCATAGCAGCTGAAGCGCACACACAGGAGGGGTGAGCCCTTCTCTCCGTGTTACGCTGGTATGTCAGGATGTCCTGAGCCGAAGCATGAATCCTGGGACTGAGGGGAGGAGGGCGTGTTGGAGTGGGAATGACTACTCAGGTGGAGATCTGGGTAAAATGCTTTTTTCAAAATTTTAAGATTTTCCTAAGAAACCTAAAAAGTTGTGAGGATTCCTTGTGGGCTCACAGGGGAAAGGACATGCTGAATACAGCACTTCAAGAACTCTGTCATCAGCACAATTATTTCTCCCATGTTAGTAAGAAACAGTTTGATTCAACTACTGCACCTGGACATAAGGCAGGGCGCCACCCACACGTGCAGGCATGGAGACCCCCACTTCACGAGGACGGGCTCGACTTTCCAGAAATAAGGTCGAAATTAGGGCTCATTTGGCCTGGGGGTTTTTCACACCAGCATGTGAGGTGAGCACAGATGCTCCTTTCTGACTCCACCTCAGTCAGGAACAGAGGAGCTCTCCACCCAGAGCCTTTGCTTATTCCCACAAAACAAAAGCTTATTTTTCTGCAGTATGAATAGCCCAAAACAAAGAAACCGATGCACACGTGATTTCAGATGAAGAAGTAAGCTAGACCTGACCTCCTTGCAATGCTGCGATTTGTTTTCATATACAAAGTAAGAAACCACACTTCCCAGTTTATGTAGAGGATTTTTAAACTGTATTGAATCAAAATGTCAAAAGCCATCTTAGCCACCGTGTTGTGATGTCTTAGCTTTCGTCAGTGGTACAGCTATCCCCACAGGCTACAGTGGTCTATTTTCCTCGCTGGAACAGGGATACCTGGAGGTTGTCACCAGTTAGATCATGAGACCTCACGTTGATGCATGTGGCAAGCTGGCTGGGACCACGCATCCTCTACATTTTCCCTGAGGGTAACGACAGCACATGCTTCCTGGCAATTACTGACATGACGCCGCTCAGGTTCCCCAACTGTTTACATACAGTTACTTCCATGGTTTGGGAATACAGTGTTATGTCAGTCAAAGCCCAGCCCCAGTTTCTGCCTCCAACTTCCATTTCTGTGTCCAAACTTCCCTCGTCTTAGAAGGACACGAGTCACTGGATCAGGACCCACTGCAGTGACCTCATCTTAACTGGATGCGTCTGTAAAGACCTCCTTCCCAGGAAGGTCACACTCATAGCTTCCAGCTGGACACAGGGTTCTGAAGGACACTATTCAACAACAGTTGCCTCATTGAGAAAATACGAAGAGATGTGTGATTCAAAAGGGCCTGTGAGGCAGTCAGGTGGGACCACGTATACCACAGTAGCCAGTGTTCAATAAAGGGCAGTTTAAAAACTGTCAGAAATGCTTTGAGATACTTGTGGGACATTTTCTTACTTTTATATTGTTGTCATTACAAATTGCCACAAACTTAGTGGTTTAACACAAATTTGTTATCTCAGTTCTGTAGGGCAGAAGCCTGGCGGCCCTGCTAGGGGCTCATGGGGCTGAAATCAAGGTGTTGGCCAGCTGCCTTCCTTTTTGGAGGCTCTGAGACAGAATCCTCTTCAGCTGGACTGGCAGAACCCAGTTCCTTGGGGTTGGAGGACTGAGCTCCCGTTCTCTTGCTGGCACCAGCCAGGGCCTGTCTCAACTCCTAGAGGTCCTTCTCCGGTCCCTGCTCAGGGGCCCCAACCCCAGAGACCCCAGTGACCGGGGGATCCTTCTCCTGCTTGGAGTCTCTCTGGCTTTCCTCTGCCAGGTATCCCTCTGACTCCAGCCAGAGGAAGTTGTTTGCTTTGAGGGGCTCATGTGGTTCAATCCGGGTATCTCCTAATTTTAAAGTTTGTAACCTGCCTACCCCAGATAGCTAGGTGTCAACATCCAGTGGGTAGCTGGATACAAGTGTAATTTGGAACTTACAGGAAATATCTGGGTGATGTATTCAAAGTGGGAGTCATCAATGCAAAGATCTCGTGAACCAGGGTAAGAGTGGGAAATGCAGGGGCCAATTCTGTGGAAAACAAAGGTGCCGGGCTGGGTTACAGAGAGCTCTGGTGGCTGACATTGGTACAAAACAAGAAGTGTTTGTGCCTCTCCTCACCTGAAGCAGAAGGTAAATTCTTTACCCAAAGTGTTCTTCAGCTGGTGGAAAGCCTATTTCTAATAAAAGCATCAGCTACCCTAAATTATGGAGGCAAAAACGGAACCTCTTGGGTTTGAAATGTTTTCTTCTGCTCATAAAATATGACGAAGTGAAAAAACAGGCTTTATTTAGGCACCAGCAGTCAATTGTTACCTTATATTCTTCTGTGGGCTGGGACTCCAGAAGTATTGCCATGTAGAGTTCATATTCATCCTATAGAAATAAAAAAAAAAAGGAAAAAGAAAGAAAGAAAGAAAGAAAATCCCACTGGAAATGTGTTAGGAGATAACACTACAGTGAAAGTTGTTTTTTGTGTGTAAAAAATATGGAACAAGGATATCAGGTCAGATTATTTCAAAAAGCATAAAATGTTCCTACAATTTACTGAACAATGTGCACAATAAAATGTATATAATCTCACCATGTTTGAAGCAAACTCGAGTGTAAACTATCAGTCACCTCAGAGAAGCGTCACAAAAGCCCTGGGCACACACACCCTCCTGCCCTACAGAAGCTCCTACTGCCCTGCCGGGGATGGGCTCCCCAAGGATGCCCTCTGGGGAGCAGGCCACCAAGCTGCTTTCAGACACTCCTTCCCTTTGGGCCTCAGACAGCAGCAGGGTCTGCCAGCAGCCTAATTTCAGCTCAGCTTCAACAAAGAGGTCATTTTTATCATGAAATCATAGCAAACTTCTAATTCCATAAGGATTTGTGTAAAATTCCATATGCACGATGATATGAGTTTATATGTTATATAGGTATATGTAAAATATTCATATAATTGGGAAGTGTTAGTGGGAAAATATGGGCTTAAGGAGTGAGCTTGCTGCGTGTGGAGCCACAGGGCCCGTTTACAACTCAGGTAGCTGCAGGCGGGCACATTCCTTGGCATCTCTGTGAGTGACTTTCCTCATTTGTAGAAAGGGGGCTGTGACACTGGGCCGAACTTCTGAGAACTGAGATCACGTGTGAAGAAACTTACGTATGGCTCTCATTTGTTATGTGGGAAATACAAGCTCATTATTACCTTAATTTCTTTTAGTATATCACCGAATGTCAGAGAACTATTGCAAATATCTTCAAAGACTTCTCTGAAGACCTGCAATCTGCTGAAGTGCTGAGGGTCGCACTCGCATGCTTTCCGGAGCTCCTGAAGGACAAACAGAGGCAGCCCGTTTTGGAATGTCTTCGTTTCCCTTCCCAAGGACTCACTCAGCTTGAGGGACCCACAGGACTTTCTACCCGAGGGTCTGGCTCCCCTGATGCCCAAGAGTTGGGTCCTCGTAGAGCTGAGGGCACCCGATACCCCAGCCCTTGCCAAGAGCCTCCGGTCACCTGGCCACCCGCGGTGACTTCTGCCCTTCCTCAGCAGCCCCTTTGCACCCTGTGCCCGTGAATTTGCTCTCTGCCTCCACTAGTCCTCAGGCTTCTTCTCTTGCCATCAGCCCTCTCAGCCCGAGAACCCGCCAAGCTGTGGTTACGTCCCCCAGAGGCCGCTATTTTCCTCTCTTCCCACATCTCATGCCTCGCGTGGCCTCCCTGTGCCCTGTGCAGACTCCCCGCCCTCAGGAGCCCACCCGGCCCTTCCTGTCTCACTGACATCACCTACGTGTGACCCAGGCCACGTGCCCTACATCACCGAACTCCATCCTCAAGCTTTCAAGGTGAGCTAGGCAAATCTTTTCTCAGATACTCTGCTCTCCCTCGAACATTTTATTCACTAGCTGCCGTGTGGCATCTAACGCTGCCCACTGTGAAATCACCTCCAACTGGCCATGACCAACCTCAGCCTGCCTCTAACCTCCCATCACCACCTGCATTGTGATGGCCTTTCTCAGCACCTGGTAGCTTTGTTATATTCTACCTGGAAACGCAGATGAGGTGGCAGAGGGTGCAGCTGGCCCACACCATGCAGGCCCTGGAACCACAGCACGGAGGGATGGGGTGTGGCTTGCCCTCTGTACCTGTTCCAACTTCTCTTGGTGGCATTTCGCTGACTTGCTCCCGGTGAAGTCATTCTTCAGGAGATCTTGCTTTGCAAGGACTTCCTTCTGGAAGCACAGGAACTTCCTGTACTTGTCTGCCTTTGTTATGTCCCCCAAATAGGATGCTGCTGGTTCATGCTTTAACGCTTTTGTCTCAGGCAGCCTCAACTCTTCTCTCCTCCACCATTCAGGAGAATCCTCTTCTCCTGGAGCCTTCCTTGCAAAGAGGGGCTCTTCTGACATGTGGGAGGTGTGTCCCAGGGGGCTCAGATACCTGAAGAGTGGAGTGTCCTGGGCATTGTTTGGACCCACAGCTGTGGGGATGGTGAAATAAGCCAAAGTATCTTTCATCTTTGCCATCTCCCTCCCAGATGGCTTTTCCACTCTAAAGATCTTCTCCTGCTTTGGCCTGGTGGCATTGGGCCAGTGACACAGGGTCATCTTGGGAGGCCTGTAGAGCTTGTTGGGATTCAGGTGTCCAGAGGTGTAAAGAGAGATGTCCCCTCTGTGCTCTTCCTGAACTTTGTTCAGAAGTTCTGTTAAGTTGCATAAAGTCTTAACACCAGGCACCTCACAATGTTTCCACCTCAGGTAAACTGGTCAAAAAAAATAGTAAGACTATTAAATATCACTCTTAGTGCCACCATAAGACAATAAGATCGCAGTGTGCATTTGCTGAGCTGGCGTGTCCTGTTCCCAAGGAGGAGCCAGCAGCAGCCAGAGAGGAACACAGCCGCTCCTGAGGGGAGGGCATGAACAGAACCCGGGACCCGCCAGGCCGGGAGAAGGAAAGGGAGCTTCGATTCAGCAAGGTTTTCTCACAATATTAGTAAATATAATTCCTAATGATCATGTTTAGAGACATCTATGCTAGGGAGTGACTAAAGGTGTTTTTCTTTTCCCTTTAATACTGACATATCTCAGGGGTCCCTGACCAGACCCAGGGACAGGGGAGTCATTCACCCCTTCCCCTTCTGTCCCTGCTTGTGGACAAGGAGGAGCCACAGAGTGAAGCCCGTGGGTGTGATGACAGGGCGTCCAGCCCCTCCCACGAAGGGCCCTACTCTGCACCATCCCTGCAGTAGACCTCCTGAGCAGAGGGAGGCAGGGAGGACCTCCTGGCATGCCCAGGACATTTCCCTGCCTAGCCCGGGTCTAAAGGGGCACACTGTTTACCGTTTCCATGGAAGGAAAGGAGGGAGGCCCAAGCTCACGTGAAGTGGGGTGGCTCCCGCTGCTGGGCAGCACCTCTGGACCCAGGGCCAGCTCATAGCCCTGTGGGACAGAGCACGGCTGGAGGGGCTGGTTCTCCGCTCAGGGGGCCTGACGCAGACACCAACAGGTGGGCCTGTCTGAGTTCTTGGATGCACTGGGGGAGAAGTTGCTCCCAGGCCCCTTCCTGTTGCTGACAGAATTCAGCTCCTTACAGTTCAGGACTGAGGTCCCCACATCCTTGTCAGCTGTTGGTGGGAGTCACTCTCAGCTCCACAGAGTCACCCACATTCCTGGACACATGGCCCCCTCCATCTCTGGGTCAGCAAGCACACTTCACACATGTCCTGTGCCCCTGACCTCTGACTCCTCCTGTGACCAGCCTCATGTTTGTCTCAGGCCCAGCCGGCACTCCCCCTGTCTGGGTCACTGTGCCACAGGACACTGCACAGTCACGGGGCACTTTCTCCTCATCCTCCAGTCTGGGGGACTCTGCCAGGTATGAACCCCAGGAAAGAGAAGGGAGCATCGGGGCCTGCCCGGAGCTGTGCCCCCTCAGGGATGTCACCCACAGCCCAGTCCCCCCTTCCACCGGCCCGTGCAGAAGTGAATCATCCTTTCCCTCCCATGGTCACACACTGGAGAAAATTCTCCCAGCAGTGGGGTCCTGGAGAATTTCCCCCTGTTGATTAGCTTCTTACTTCAGAGAAACCACTTTTGAAATGTTAAAATAGCAATAGGACAATTTTTCAAGATATAAATTATCATAACTCACCAAAGGCATAACAATTAAAGTACTAAGAACACATTTATTTGTTGAACTTCCCCAGATGACCAAACCAGTAGGATGCGTGTGTATGTATCAAAATCTGCCGGGTAGGCCTCCGGGCTGGAGGTCCTGTTCACATCCAAAGACCTGCTGCTGAAGGCCTCCCCCTTGCTTTGGGGAGACCAGTCTTTGTTCCCTTAAGGCTGATTAGATGAGGCTCACCCACATTTCAGAGAGCAAGAATATTTGCTCTACTCCAAGTCCACCGATGTAAATGTTAATCTCATCCAACAAACAGCATCAACAGAAACATCCAGAATGATATTTGACTGACTGTCTAGGCACCATGGCCCAGCTAAGATGACACACGAAATCCACCACCATGCTATGCCGGCTCTTGCCAGGTGACTTAACCATTTGTATTACACCCTTTGCTTATTTCCAAAAAGGATTTTAAGCCACCAGCAAATTAGCAAAACCATTTTCCTGCATAGAATACTTTTTGCTTAGACTGCAACAAGATTTGCTTCATTAGACTTGGAGAATCCAGATTTCATTTCTCTCTGCCAAGTCCTTAGAATATGTACCAGGGATCCCATCCTGACAATGAATATTTTGATTATTTTCCTTATTGAAAACATTGTTATTTGCATAATCTGCCACCTCAATCTGACAGAAAAGAAAAAAATGATTGAAATAGTTCATCAGAAATTGTGGTTCTTTATAAAGTGATCAGGAAACAATTTTCTTTAAGTAAAACCAAACCAATTTTGAATAGACATTGATAAGACACAGTAGTAGGTGTTTTGGACTAGGTTTGAATTAATAAACATTTCAAATATTGTTAGAATTTGACATTTTTAAGCACATGGTATTGTTCTTTAGTAATTCACCTATTTTAGGATAGAAACAACAGGTCTTTAATGTTAAAATTATCACAAATCACTGCCCTGGGTTATCAGCTCTTCGGGAAACCTGGAATCCTGTAGAAATCTTGGTCTGTGTCCCCCCACTTCCACACTAACGTCCATGAACATCCTGGTAAACATGCTGGGAGAAGAAGTCAAGAGGAAAGAGCAGGCGGATCTTTGTCCCCACAGCCTCGTGGCCCGGGGACAGCTGCAGCCAGAGACGAGCCTGAGAGCGTCCAGGACCAGACCGGGCCAGGTGGGGTGCCAGCCCAGTATCACAGCCTTTCTGTCCTGAACCCCAAGATGGCTTTGGTACTGTCACACATTGCCCTCACCTGTAACACTCTAATGTGTGGATTTTTACTTTCCTCAAGGGAAAGAACTCTCTTTTATTCATAGTAGCATCTTCTAAGGGTGATGTTTTGTTTAATGAATATATGTGAAGAAGAAGTAACATTTTTTAGAATTTTAAGTAATACTGTGACATTTTACACTGTACCACACAGTGTGCTCTCTCCCTTAGGGGGTAAAGCAGAGGCCCCCAGGAATCTCAGGGTCCAGCAGGAAAGGAGGTGTGAGCGTCTGTGTCTGGGAGACTGTAGAGGCCGTGCGAGAAGCCCACAGATGCCGACGCCTCCTCACTCCACCTCTGGGCAAGGAGACCTCCCTGATTTAATTACAGTCACAACCTCCCCTAAAGGAATCCTCCTGGATTACCTGGGGGACCAATCTGATCACATGAGGTCCTCAAAGCAGACAACTTTCTCTGGCTGGAGTCAGAAGGGAGATGTGGCCGAGGGAAGTGAGAGACTCTAAACAGGAGAAGGATCCCCTGGCCACTGGGGTCTCTGGGATGGGGGCCCTTGGGCAGAGACCGGAGAAAGGCCTCTGGGAGCTGAGGGAGGCCCTGGCCGACAGCCAGTGATAGAATGGGAGCTCAGCCCTACAGCCCCAAGAAGCTGGGTTCTGCCAACACCCTGAATGATCCTGGAAGGGGAATCTGTCCCAGAGTCTCCAGAAAGGAAGGCAGCCAGCCAGCACCTTGGTTTCATTCAGCCCAGCGAAACCCCAGCAAGACCGGCCGGGCTGTCCAGGCCTCTGCCCTACCGAACTGAGGAAACAGATTGTGCTGCTTTACATCACTAAATCCGTGGTGACGTGCTAAAGCAGAAGAAGCTAATTCACCAGGACAGTATGTGGAATTTAAGTTCAGTTGCATGCATGACCAGAGGCACTGGTGGTGCTGAGGGGGTGGGGGAAGCTAGTGGCCCGGAGAAGGGGCAGTAAGATCACTCATGGGGTGATTCAAGGAGAGCCAGCACTACACGTGAGGATGGTGATCCCAGAGGGTGTCATCATTCTCCCTGAGGGACCCCAAAGAAAGCAGTGATACTTCCCAACATCACAGGGTAGAGAGGCTTTGGTTTCTCTGCGTGCATATGAAGAGAAAGTAACCCCAAAGGCTGAAAGACTCAAATAGCTGTGGCTGCCTGCTGAGGGCTGGTGGCAGGTGTGCAGGGCAACTTGGCCCTGGTCACTTACAACGCCGCCTTTTGCATGTCACCCCATTTACTCAGACAGATTTTCAGAGATATCTCTGGCAAAGTTTGCCTCCTGCTTTTTAAATTCACAGAGTATGTATTTAGTTTAAGATACCAGAATAAGAGGAGAAGCCTTTCCTATTTCCAACCACTAGGTTGCACCTTTTGCATACAAAATGCAGTCACTTCATGATTTAAATCCTGTAGGGCAGTTCTTGAAAATTGAGCCCTATTAACAAATACAAGGCAAAAATTGACCCAGATGTTCTGTCTAAACATCACGACCATTCCTCTTGGCACCCACCACCTTTGCAAGCCGCAAACCAAAGGGACGACACCAACACCCCACAGAACCTGAAGGAACCCGTGCTCTGGGCAAACCGGTCTGAGTGACGGACACAGCTTTGCCCTCGCCACGCGTGGGAAGCCAGCCTGTCTGGAAGCAGCAAGGAACTCTGAAGGCACCAAAACAGCTCCTAGGGCTGAGGACGGGACTGACATTACAATTTACTTTCTCCATAAAGAAGAGCTTTTTATTAACACAACTGGCATGATGAGAGCCACATGAGGAAAGGAGAAATAGCCAAAGCACTCACAGGAGACAGGGGCAGTTACTACTCTCATTTTACAGACAAAGAAACTGAGGCACAGAGGGTCGCGCTTGGGGGCGTGTGGTCAGATGGCAGGCTTCCTCCAGGGTGCACGCTCTCACCCACCCACCAACCAAAGCACATGGAACAGAGCAATAAAAATAATATAAATAAATAACATAATAACATTTCTTCCAAAATAATTTATAATTCAGACTGTTTTCTTAATCCAACAAGCTTTCACCCAACACAAAATTCATCGGAATCACCAGTCCCGTTTTCCTTATTTTCCTGCCCACTGAGCAGTGGGGAAGCCACGGCTTAGGATTCGGCAGACAAATTGCCCAATGATTAGGGACAGTAAACTGAACTGACACTAATAAGACGATGAAGCCCTCGTACGCGGTAGTAGGGGCGGTCCGTGGTTTGTGGGTGCTCAGCGGGGCCTGCAGAATGGCGAGGGGCCAGGTCCCGGGGTACGGCTTTTAGAGAACACTGAACAGCATCCACAAGTCTGCCCCCATCCGCCCTCCTCCCGGAGGACACACACATGCACGCACGCACACACGCACGCGCGCGCGCGCACGACCCCTGTCCTTTGAATGTTATTGTTAGATTTTCTGAGGAGGTAACACATCCCCAAATCCAATCCTAAACCCTGGTGACCTGGGAGCTGAGTTGCAGCCACCAGAAAGGTTTTCATTTTTTACACCAGTTTCAGAGAAGCCGGGCTCCTCGGCAAGCAAACAGCAAGCAAACAGCAAACAAAACCGTCCGTGTCCACTTACACTCGGGCTCTGAGCCCGCAGCCATCGCCTCCCGCCGCAGCTCCGCGCGGTGGCAGCGAGTCACCGAGGAGACGGAAACATTCCAGGCCCGCCCCCCGCGGCCCTCTGCTGCCTGGCAACGGGACGCTCCGCCTCTGCGCAGAACCCCTCCCCCGGGCCTCTCGCCCCTGCCTACAGGCAGTACCGTCCCTTGCTTGTTTTACTCTTCAAAATAAAACACTTTCTGTGTAGAAAAACATCAGACTACGCTTGCAGTCTCTAATTCCTTTCCAGAGCCCAGGGAGGAAGAAAATCTGTGGTCGGGCATCTTTAGAGAGAGGTGCAGGTTTACGGTGCACAAGCCACCCAGCTGTGCCTGGAATTCTAGCACGTGGTGGGTGCCAGTCCCCAAAGCATCGTCTAGTCGTTCTACTGGTAGTATCCACGCCTTTCCTAGTAGGGAACTGAGGGCATGTGAGTTGGAGTAACTCGCCCATGATCGGCTGGCAGGTAGGAGGGTGGAAATGCGCGTCTGAGCAGCAGCCAAGCCTTTGCTCTCTCCCCAGGCCAGCCCGCGTGCTCAGGGAGGAAAAGCCAGAAACCTCTGAGTTGCAGGCCTTTGACAGCTGTGATTCCAGCTAGATTTCTTCCCGCCCAAGAAAATTCCAGGCGGGGTCTAGAGCGTCCTCCGCTCCCAGGAGCCGCAGTGCTGAGCCGCCTTCACTGCCTAAGGCGACAGTGGTGACGACATTCACCTCAGAGCTGCGAGGACGAAGTTTGTGCCCGAGAAAGACTTGGGCCGCATAAACGTCTCTTTTAGTTCCACTTATGCCGACCAGACTCTTTAAATGTGAATAGTTTGGAAGCCATGAAGTTGCCGTTACCCTAGCGTGCTCAGATGGCTCGGATTCGGGTGTTCTTGATGTTTAACCTGGAAAAAGATAACAAGCGTGGCTCCCGATGTTCTCTCCCCAAGGTGCGCAGCATTATGCATCTGACCATAGCCAGAAACGTAACATTAATATGCCCACATTACACAAGGATATTTAAGCATTGATGTGGGAGAGAAAATGTTTTGTTTCTGACCCTTAGTTAATTACAGATTAGGGTCAAACGTATGGCAATACTGGTTTTTATATTCCCAACGATCAGAGATGAAACAATGAACCTTTCTGCTCAGAACTGCTCAGGGATTCAGCGAACGGCTGAGTATTCTACCAGCTGGAACACCCCGTGGTTTCCTCCCTGTCCTGGCAGGTGACAGGTGGCAAGTGGCTTTGCCCCTCTCCTTCCACAGACGGGCGAATGGGACAGTGCTCCCTGGCCTTGGCAGAGACAGCCCCAGGAGGTGAGCCCTCAGCGTGCCCTCTGCCACCCTCCCACTGCCCATTGGGGTAAGAAAGGACTCGGCTCGCTCTGCATGGCACTGAGGAGTCTTGGTTTAGATCAGAAAGAAAGCAATGTGTTTGTCCCCAGGGCCACGTTCACCCAAAGCCTCCCTTGTGGGAGGACGCGTGTACAGTCAGACTAAGCCGCCCTATACACTCAAGGTCAGGAGGTCGATGGTCAAGCACCTTAAAACCACCCGCAGCTCTCTGATTGCTGAATATTCCAGCAAAGTGTTTGGGGCAGAAACAGATGTGAATATTACATCACAAGCGGAATGAACCGTTCGGCCGAAACCACTTGGGACCTTGCCTCCGTGGGCGTCCCCAGGAACCGCTCACCCGCAGACTGGGCACTGCCTCCACGCGCATCATGTTGTCCAGTTTGCAGCTCTACATGGCGCTGGGACACATCTGAAGATCCTGGTGGAACACGTGCCAGAGGAGGAGACTTACTCCATCCCAGGTAATTCGTCCCCCACGCGCTCTCCCATCCTTCCCCTCATTCAGAAAGAGTGAAAAAGAGTTGCCCGCTTTCGTCGCTTTGCGCTCCTGCTCTGGCAGCGCCCGGTGACGCCCTGGAGACAGCCCTCCGGCCCAGGGGAGGGGTGCCCAGGCCCGAGGACCCAGGGCAGGAGAGCCGGTCCACAGCCTCCTGTGCAGTCGCAGGGGTGGAAAGCTGATTGGCCAAAAATAAACATTTTCCATGACTGCTCTTTTGGCTATTCAAAATTTTTGTGCAAAAATAGGCAAAGTGGGAATGACGCTTTAAACATCTTTCTGCTTTCTAGGCTCTGGAGGTGGGAACCAGTGATGTGTTTAAGTAACTTCAGGCAGACAAACTATACACACACCCCGGCCTGACAGGGGGACACGGGAGGTGCGGGGAAGGCGGGAGCTGCGACGGGCGCTGGCAGAATGGGGGGTTCGGCTGGTCCTGCAGACCAGATGGCGGAGCGAGCAGGCACCGGTTCCCGCGGAGAGAGACGACTGTGGCTCTGTACTGTCTGCAGGCCATCGGCGGTGAGGGCAGTGTAAGGGCCAAGGAGGGCCTCCATGCTGCCACGCGGGCGGCTGCCACTCCCGGCCACACCCCCGCCCCTTCCCCAGTGCCCTCTGCCTGCCAACCTCCTGGGCAGCCCCTTCCACCCCCTTCTCTCCCTCTCTCCATCTGATAGAATATTTCCATGGAAACAAGTGCACTCTGGATTTTCTAATTTTAAAAATAGATAAACCAAAACCTTTGCTTTGACTCTCGTCTCTGGAAGGCACGGCACACTCACAGTTACCTGGCACAATGGATTCTCGCTAGAGCCCGTCACAGGGCGGCCAGGTGGCCCGGGTGCCCAGGTGGGTGCCGGCGCTGCTCCACCTGGCTCCAGGGGGCTGTGGGGAGGGCGCTCCTGCTACAGGTGTCTGCCCACCAGGGGCGCTATCTGCTTGTCTCAAACCTTTGCCTGTGTGGTCTTGATTTTTTCCTAAAGGCGCTTTCCTGCAATATAACTACATTTTTCAGTGCTGTTTAAGGGAAAAATAGCTACATGACCCAAAAAAGGTTGAGAAAGGGATGAAGAAGATGGCACAGGATGAGCACACTTTTCCTGGGACTCCCATGTGCTCCGACCGCCTCTGCAGTGAAATAAACCTTCATTACATTTGTGCATAGAAACGCCATTCCGGTACTTTCAAATTGTTGCTTACCCTTATCTAAAATTTTGCTTCCAGTATCCCACGGAAAGGTTTCCTACAGCTGTGAAAGTCATGGGTCAGGACGGTGGATGTTGTGATTCACACTAAGGAACATGACCTTGATGTGGGGGCCTTTCACCCAACAGCTTGGTTTCCCAGAAGTTAAGCCATGAAGTAGGAAGCTGGTAATGAAAGCCCCCCTGCCGATGCCCCCAGAGCTCTGGTCACCCTCCTCAGGGACGATGCACACTGGTCTCCCCGTGGCCTCCAAGGAGCAAGCCACCCCGACAGGTGGCCCCACACGGGACCCGCCCATCCCTCCCCCACCCAGATGACGGTGCCCTGCTCACCTGTTCCACCACCTGCATGTTTTCTCTTAAGAAAACCATCCTGGAGGCCATTCCCTGCGGCGCCTGGGAGCCGGCTGCCTGCAGTCTCACGGCGATGTGGCCGTGCCTACACCCGCAGGCCTCCGACAGACCCTGAAGCTGTTTTCACGCTCTTGCTACTAAATGCCGCCACCTGCCTTTGGGTCATTCCACAGGTTCAAGAGAATATGCAGGTGAATAGGAAGAGCCGAGAGTGTCCGGCCGTCGAAGGAGCTCTGCCTCACCAGGTGTCCCGGGGGGGCTATGCCACGTCAGCCGGGGCAGCAGGGAGGGGGCCGACCCCACACCCTTGCCACCAGACCCGCATCACCCGTCCTGTGTCACCACGCGTCTGGTCTTTGCCCACAGAGGCTGCCAATTAGCAGGTGATGGAGAAAATCTATAATTAAACTGTGAAGGAAATAAATAAGGTGTAATCACAATTTTCAACCTCCTGTCTGAGGCGAGGCCAGCAGGAAGGCCTCTGCATTTCCTGTTGCTGCTGAAACAATATCATAAATGTCGCAGCTTAAAACAATGCAGACTTGTTATCCTGGAGTCCCGCCATCCGGAAGTCCGAAACTGGAGAGACGGAGAGTGGGCAGGGCTGTGCTCCTTTGCAGGCTCAGGGGAGAATCCAGTCCTGGGCTTCCTAGCTTCCAGAGGCTTCCTGGGCCTCAGCCTCCCTTCCACGTTCAAGGCGAGCCGTGAACAGGGCTGGTGAGTCCATCCCACACCACAGACACTTGGCTGCCTCCCTCTGCCACTCATAGGACCCCAGGGACCGCCCTGAACCCACCTGGACACCTCCCGCTACCTTAGGGTCAGCTGGTGAGCAGACCTCCTTCCACCTGCTGCTTGAGGTCCTCGTCACACAAGCTGATACAATCTCTGCTCCAGGCGTTGCATCATGACATCCTTGAGGACCATTATCTGCCAGCCAGGCCCCCAGGATGGGTGACACTTAGGCTGTGCTCCACACGAGTGCACAGGGCTGGAAGAAGCCTGGGCATGGGGGCGGGAAGGGAAGGCTGGGGCCCTGGACCCGAACAGGCGCCCTTCTCCAAACCTGGGCTGTGCCACGACAGCCAAGCGACCGCTGGGGAGGGGACCGAAGATGTTGCTGGCTTGGTTTTCTATGACTGGAGAAATCTCAGCATTGAAGGATAGGATCAGTGCTGTAGGAAAGGTTGAAAATCTGGGAAATGGGGGGCATTCAGTTCCATGATCTGCTACATGTCTAAAAGCACAGGTAACCTGCCAAAGGGAAGCTGGGCCAATGGGTGGGGTGGGGGTGGGGGTGAGTAAATGCCCTGTTGCCACAGAAAACAAAGCCTAGCCAGATGCCTGCTCGAACTGACTGCCAGGTGTTTCTCAGTCACGTTAATGCAGCTCTTGGTCAAGTACACATGAAGGTGAACCCTCCTGGGGCCAGGTTTTAAGGGACAGAACCTTTCCCAGAGACCAGAGACCCTGTCATTGCACCTGTGGGGTGGCACCGAGCCAGCCACCACTGCCCTCGAGCCCATGACTGGGGCACCACTTCCAGGGTCACGATGGAAAATAGCCTCGCTGACCACCTCCAGGTCCTCCTCCCACTTTGCAGCACTTCTGTTTCACTGGGAATAAGACT